AATGTAATAATCTGTATTTATAGTCTATTAGTCGATCTGTTGTTGTCCTTCTTTGACAATGTGTGTGAACCACAGTGACTCTTGCGTCAGCTATTGAGGACCTGTACGATGTCCAGCGTTAGTTCGAGAGAGCGCAAGTGTGCCCAGGTTGTGCTAGCGGGCCTGTTTGATGTCGAGGGATGAGTTCGAGAGAGCGTAAATCTGTCCGATCGACTATAGCGTGAGATGTGACTTGTTTATTTATTAATATAAAGGTGTACCTGGTGAACTGCAGGCTAGGTGTATTAGAAGCTGTGTAGTTGATGTCCCCCTTGATTACTATTCCATTGGCTTCACTGTAATCATTATCTAATCTGCCGATTTCTTATTCTTATGCGCGCGTGTATTCTTAACTATGCTGACCAATATATTGCCACGCGTCGTCTTCACATTATACAAAACACTATTGCAGTGAGCTGCAGTTATGCTTGAGTGAGCGCGAAGTGATATTACAAATGAGCCCATTGAATACGCGCACGAACCGATGGCTTGATCGTACCGTGGCGGCTCTGCTGAAAATACCGACCGTTCCGTGGCGGTCCTGCTGAGGGCAGATCGAGACGCTTGTACCATGGCTTCTACTGGTAGGTGATTGAATCGGTTCACTATGGTCGGTCACTGCGGTCGGGTCACGGCAAGATGTTAGCTGCAAGCGCAGTCGAGCGAGGGTGGTACAAGAGATGATTTTCAGCGAGAGGTATCTTCAGCAAGAGAGGTACTTTCAGCAAAAGATCGAGACGCATCGCGTCCGTCCTTTATATAGGCACGTGGCGGCTCACTTAGTTAGCAACAAGGCATCGTCGTTGTTGCACTAATTCTTACACGAGGCGTCGAAGGAAAAATCTAGAACCTTCGAGAATATTCGACGAGAGAAAAGTAGGAGTAATACCCTTGGGTGATCTTACAGTATATTATATTTCGGGTCGTAAACTTGCTCGGACTTGCCGAGTTTTGTTTGTAAACATTCGTTCGAGTACCCGTTTCGGTCCGCACGCGCGGGTCAGTCTAGGCGCACATACGGTACGTCGGACAGCGCGTATGGCCTTTCTTTTGTTTGAAATTCATGGGACTGCATCAATCCCGAACACCAACCATAACCTCAATTACGCACATGCTCGTCCAAACAGCGCGAGTGTCGACGAATCAAACTTCGCGCTATTCTGCGCTCATATTCAACCATCACGCTGCATAGATGAGTGTACATTAATCCACGACTAGAGTTATTTCAATAATTAATAATAGTAATACTAGTCAAGCCTTGTCATCGAATAAATAACAGAATACACAGCATATACATCAGCCATATTTATATTGTATTATTATAATATCCCTTCCACTTGTGAACTTTCATCGCTATCACACAATATCCGTGGTCTCTGAGTTGCCGACGGCATCAATTTGTATCCTTCGAACCGGTTTTGGTAAAATATGAATACATTTTGTACAACAGTTCTTTTTGAAATTTTGTATTCTCCTCTTGACGGCCCTATAAATTTCGGGATGTATACAAAAATCCACATATAGGAATTTATCAGATAGAAAAAATTGCATAAAAAGATTTGAGATGAAAGGTATGGTGGATGAAAGAATGCGATGAGAGAACGGACTTAAGGACGATATGTCAATTTTTTAGGAGAAGGAAAAATAGAAGAAAGATTATACAAAATTTTATATATTTATGTACGTTTTCGTTAAATACATATTATACACATACGCACGTGCGCGCGTGCGCGCGCACACACACAATTCTTCTATGGGGAGAAATAATGAGAGACAGAGAAATAGTGGAAAATCGGCCCACTCGATGAGAATTTACGTACATTAATGACTGAAAATATTTCATCGATCCCGTATTGTGGTGGCGTAAAAAATTTGCAAATTCTTATTGAGACATGTGCTTAAAATTCGTGAAAATAATTGTTTTAATAATCGTGATATATATATGAACTATCGCCACAACTTCGAACAAATGTAAAAAAACTCCTTTATCATATTAAAAACAGATATATGAATTAAACTTATTATATAATGTTTACTAGTAAATTAATTTAGAAAATGGAAATATCAAATTCAATTAATGTTTCAAATAAATACTGATAATTGACCTCTTACATACCATAATTTATTCTGTATAATTCATTCTTTTATTTTAACTCGAAATATATAGTGATCGCAAACATAGATATGAAAGACAATTTTTTTTTATTTTGGATCTCTTTATTATGTACTCCCAAATATCATCGATTCAATTAACACACTTTGGAAAAATATCTATGCTGTACAATGGATTATTTTACAAGATATATCCGAAAATTTATTGGTCGAATACAAATATGAAATATAATGACGCAATATCATTCTTATAATTTTTATTTTTACAGAATTTTTTAATTCAACAATATTGCAGAATATTATAAAAATCATTATTTATATTAAAAAAATTTCGACATTTTAAAGAGCACGTTATTATTTGAAAAAATTTATGTTTGTATATTTATTAAAATCAATAAAAATATTTAATATATTAAAATTTTAAAATATAAAATTTTGTACTTTAAAATATTTATTCAATTCCTGACATTTAAGACATAATTTAATTGAAGTTAAATATATAAATATTTAGATTTTCATTCGATACTGTAATTTCCAAGGAATAAATTAGTCGTTAATAAAAATGTTTTTGACACTTAATAGTTCCAAAGAAAGGCCTTATATAAAAATGTCGAGCTAGTAAAATTATTCATTGGAACTGTTAGTTCTACTGCAGAAGTACGATGTATTTTTTTAGAAATGTCTTTTTACTTTGTGCTACATATAAATTCAGTTATACCAAATTTGATCTGCATGAAGAGAAGAAATAAAGAATACACTAAAAATATGTATCGTGTGACGCATTCACTCGTGTATGATATATCCACATTGCGAATACGGAATATGCAATGGTAGAATTTTATGCTATTAGATCCTACGAGCGTTTACTATTCTTTTCAATATGAACTGAATATTTTAAACTTTTTACATATCTTTACGATAAATTCCAGTTTCAAAATCTTATCGTGTCTTTTTAATAGTTTTTATTCTCTTCTTTAACGTATAATTAACATGAGTGGTATTTACAGTATTTACACAACTCTCAAATATATTTATGTGCTATAAAAAAAGGAATACATGTTCTAATATAATTGTTTTACTTCTCCATTACTTTATTCTTTCATATATACGTGCAAATACGCGTGTAGGCAAGCTATAATAAATACCATTCAGTTATGATAGACGAATAAAATAATAATATAGAATTCGTCAATAGTTATATCAAATTCAATCAAACTCATTAATCCTTAAAAGACCAACTATCGGGAACCTCAAAACGAAAAGTGGTAGACACGTGTTTTGTTGTTTACTGTATTTGTAATTATTCTAAGTTATGGATAATTCAAATGAGTACAACTAAGTCTATCGTACGCTCTATATTACGATTAATTTCCGAACATTTTTAGATTCTTTTTTTTTATTACTAAATGCATATTTACAAATTTTCGATACCTAAATATGTAAATCAGATTAAAAATACACAAAGATCGCCAATTTTTTTCTAAGACCGAGACTAATAAATTTTATATATATATCTTACTCATCATCAATAATCTATAAATACGAGCTAAACACGATATGGGCTTAAAATAGGCACACTTACTATACAAATTTTTACGTCTTATGAAATTAAAGGCTTTCATTAATTGTATATATGTGATCAGTACAGATTTATTAGTTAGTAGTCATTGATGAAACTGATTATAAGGATAGAAAACTACTCCATAAATGTGGACTTAATTATATAAGAATAATTTATAGATATTACTGGCACGATGTTAATCAGTGATATCATATTATTTTAAACCTTTACAGAAAGGAATAAATGTTTTATTCGTCAATTCCTTTACATAAATGTCTATAGTATTTTTTCTGGCATAAATTTTTATTTATTTTTATTGTTTGTATTAAATAGAATTATTATTTGAATCTACGTATCATGTACTTCATTAATAATAAGTTTTTAATTACGATGTAAGGAATTTAATAATTTTAAAATTATCAAATTATTATTATATCTGAAACGATATAATCATAAAAGTAAATTAGTATTAGGTAGTAAAAATGTTAGGCAGTAAATTAGTATTAGGTAGTAAACATGTTAGCTAGTAAATTAGTATTAGTAGGTGGTAAAAATTAATTTATATATCAAAATAAGGTCAAATTTATTAATGTCCAAGTCACAGGGAGAGTTAATTTTAATATGCAATATTGAATTTAATGCTAAATAAGGCAATTGAGAAAAGTACAATACAAATTCTGTATTGCATGTTTAGAATTTTTCATCCATTCAATTTTAATTTCATTTTTCAAAAATTGGCTCTCCTTTTATTATTACGACGGTTCCTAAAAATCTCGATGTATATTTTTATTTTGTATTAGAACTACAACGCTGAGGTTGGTATAAAACTGATTAGTTTCTAATCAATATTGACTTTTTAAATTGTATTAGAATATGCATATTATTTAATGAAATTTTAATAGAGAAATATTTTAAATAATTAAACTTGCTTATGATTTAATTTAGTTTCATGAATAATTTATTTTGATGGTTGAGATAAATAATGTAGGTGGAGATAATTAAAAATAGTACAAAAAATCTATTATAGCTCGAGATTTATAGGATACAGTGAGTTCATGGAAACAAAAATACTCAGGCACACGCGCACAGATTTATTATCGGTTTGAATCACCACTGGCTTAAATATCGCTCTGAACAATTTCTTATTATCACAAGGTGAAGTGAGACATAGAATACAGGAGGAACGGATTAGGGTTGGCAGGCGTTGGGATAAGCTAATTTTGAGGTTCGATGTGTTCAGAAATCAGACATGGTATTCGTTGATGTTGAATGCATCAAAGTATCAACCCTATACACAACTCTCTTGGCTTGATATTAGGGGTGTACGAACTGTCACCACTTCCCGTGGATAATGAGGTGGTTGTTGTTGATCTTGTTTTACTTGAAGTGAGTCCTGAATTATATTAACAGGCGGTGGTGAGGCTAATGTAGCCGTCGTAGTCATAGTCGATGAAGATGAAAGTTGACCAATCTTCGGCGGTCGAACATTGTAGTCGATGCAGGTGTAGACCGTTGCCTCTTTGGGACATCTCAGTTTGTTTCCAATAATAACACCTCCGGCAATACCATCAAAACCGATGAGGCTTTCGAGGCCGCTAAGGATCGAAAGCTTACTATCTATACCTGTGACTGTAGTTAGTGTCGAAGGTTGCACTAGGCACAATTCAGCGTATGTCACCTCGCCGCTCCGCTGGAAGCACACGAAAACAGAAGTGAGAGCTTTGATCATCAGTTCAATTATCTATATTATTGTTTTTATTTTTGGCTACTTGGTTTCTTATTCATTCAGATCATATTATTTTCAGAAATATACTATATTTGGGATTACCCACACTCATTTAGAATAATTTGATTTTATTAAGTGAAAAATATTGCTTATTGGAAATGTTTATCAAACAATGCTAACAAACTTAATGATACCTACGTTTTTTACAATCTATAAACAAATAAATATAAATTAAAATTCATATACATATATGTGCAAGTGTAGTAGAATAATTGACATAACTGTTTGAAGATTTTCGTTGATCTTATTAAGAACAATTATAAGTTTTATTTAGTTTAGTTTTATTTAGATAAACTTTTACATTTCAGTAAAATACAAGTAAAATAATGAGTAATTGATATTATTATAATTGTGTCATTTCAAAAATTATAAGATTTGCGTGAATCTCTCAAATATTATTGTGACTGAATAATAATCATGTTAATAAAATAACATGCACTTCAACTGATTTTAAATTTGCAAGCGAATCAATTGAACACAAGTAACATAATAAACAAGAATAAGGAGTTTATTGCAGTTTGGAATTATAATCCATTTCCGCCAATCATGTAGTAAACTGGCGATGGGTTAAATTTTTATGAGTATATCCAATAATTTCATATATAATATATTCTTTAAAGTTTCAGTTTATAAGTTTATTTATTACAAATGAAAATTGATTAGGGATACCATGGACAAGTTTGATGAGAAATTTAAGTTTTAGGGACAGAAAATAAAAGACAATGTAAATTACAAACTCCATTTTTAATATCTAAGTATTTATACCCGTAGGCCACGTACGGCAAATCAAATAAAAAACAATGAGATGACAGGTACTATAATTAGTACACTGTTCATATATGTATAAGTATATGCATATTTAGTCATTAGTCCACTATTTAATTTTATTACAAAATTTCTTGAGCGTGCGAATATTTTAGATAATATAATTTTTTTTATATATAATAACAAAATTTCTTTGTAAATCGAAGTTGAAGTATACATAAAAAAATGGAGGCACTACATTTTCCTGAATAATGTCAGAGCATAAACAAAAGATGATCAAATGCTATAATACAAAGGTCTTGTTCATCAAATTTATGCAAAAACATATACATGAAAGAATAACTGGCAAGATTTACGACTGGATCAGTCTTTATTTTTCTCAGTCACTGATTTTTCTTTGCCCGTGCACATTATATTATATATTTATATACATGTGTAACAAGATAAAGTATTGTTATGTAGTTGTGATTAGTTAAAAATAAACTTTTCTAAAATGACTGTAAGCAATAGCTATAGCTTTTTACAAATGCCATTTCACTTCTTATCTACTTTGTATTCGTTGTATTCTCAAAAATCTGTCTATATAAAGTTTAAAATAGTTTAGGTGTATTCCAGCAGAATTAAATCCATGCACAAGAAAATAAAAAGTAACCATTCATATCAATTCAATTACAATAATAATATTTTACGTAAAACTAATATTTTCCTATAATTGTAATAATTCATTAAAGTAGCCTACAAATTTTATTTTCTTCATAATAAACTTTATCTATTACTCACTTTTTAATTGATACTAGTAATAATTAATTTGTTAATGAATTGTTATATATTATTATATTATTAATAAAAATATAAACGAAATAATAATTCATCAAGAATTTTTTTATAATATTTAATTAATTTATTAATAAATAATCTGAATAATATTTTAATTATTTTAGAGTAGAAATTTTATAATTTTGAATTTTTTAAGTACCAAACCTCTTCTATATTTGTAAATATTAAAATTTTAAATGAACGTCACAAATTTTTCATAGAAATACTAATTAAATATATCGCTAACTGATAATGTCTATTAAATAAATAGAACAATTATATTACAAAAAAACTTATCTTCTCCTCTATTTGAATATAAGTATTATATACTAATAAAAAAAGACTTAAATAAAATACAAGTATTTATAATAATTATGGATATGACTGTCTTGAAGTTGAGGTAATGCTGATGTTGTAAATATCAGCTGGTGTAGTCAATCAATCATGCTTGTGAGGTAGCATGAGACGATGGTAGTCGAATCAAGTATACTTGATGTATGAATAACTATACTTGATATGGTGTAAGATGTTTAATGGAATATGTTAAGTAATCGAGTGTCTTTAATTATGTAAGGGGAGCTGTAGACGAGCTAGTCACACGTGAAAGTGATTAATGGTAGGATTTCTAACTCTTGAAGAATGTAATAATCTGTATTTATAGTCTATTAGTCGATCTGTTGTTGTCCTTCTTTGACAATGTGTGTGAACCACAGTGACTCTTGCGTCAGCTGTTGAGGACCTGTACGATGTCCAGCGTTAGTTCGAGAGAGCGCAAGTGTGCCCAGGTTGTGCTAGCGGGCCTGTTTGATGTCGAGGGATGAGTTCGAGAGAGCGTAAATCTGTCCGATCGACTATAGCGTGAGATGTGACTTGTTTATTTATTAATATAAAGGTGTACCTGGTGAACTGCAGGCTAGGTGTATTAGAAGCTGTGTAGTTGATGTCCCCCTTGATTACTATTCCATTGGCTTCACTGTAATCATTATCTAATCTGCCGATTTCTTATTCTTATGCGCGCGTGTATTCTTAACTATGCTGACCAATATATGGCCACGCGTCGTCTTCACATTATACAAAACACTATTGCAGTGAGCTGCAGTTATGCTTGAGTGAGCGCGAAGTGATATTACAAATGAGCCCATTGAATACGCGCACGAACCGATGGCTTGATCGTACCGTGGCGGCTCTGCTGAAAATACCGACCGTTCCGTGGCGGTCCTGCTGAGGGCAGATCGAGACCCGTGTGTAATGGCTTCTACTGGTAGATGATTAAATCGTTTCACTATGGTCTGTCACTGCGGTCGGATCACGACAAAATGTTAGCTGCAAGCGCAGTTGAGCGAGGAACGGTAAGAGATGATTTTCAGCGAGAGGTATCTTCGGCTTACGGAGGCGTGGGTGCCAGTATAGTTGTGGCATCGCTATTAGTTCCTTAGGTTGCTTGATGCTTGCCATGGCCTCCCAATGGCGATGGCAGGGTTGGGTAGAGATCCGCTGTGAAGAGTGCATGATTGGTACTAGAAAGAAGCAATCGCGACACGTGCAGCTCCTCACATATTCTCGTACGAACTGGCTGCGCCGATAGCGCATCGGTGGCTGTTACTATGCCGCTATTTGTCGTGACGTCAATAGAGGATACTCTTGTAGGGTTCATTTGTTATTACTTCTCGGAATTATAGTCGTATTAGAGTTTTTCGGCTACAAGCATTCTTTGAGTCCGTTGGCCAATGTTTACAAAACAAATGTTCGGGCGCTCATACTTCTCCCACTTTGCATTCCGCTTAAAACTGCTGTAATCCGTAACACGTATGAAGATTAAATTTTTTATAATTTAATATAAGATTAAAGTATTTTTAATTTTACCTCTAAATTTTGTTTATATTGTTTATATTTTTTATATTTAAGTTTCAAAGTTTACTGATATTAAGTACTAAGTTTTAAAGACTGAGCAATATTAGTGCCTTAATTTTAGTAACTAAAAGTTTTATATTTTGTTTAAATTTTTATATTTTTCATCAACTTTATAGATTAGTTTGATACTGTCTTATGCTAAATACTAAATAAGAAGTACATAGAAATATTTTTGTAAAATTATTTCAATATTAATTCTTAAAAATTAGTCAGGTAGAAGAAATAGTCACACTAATGAAAATTAAAAGTAAATACTAACAGTCAATTTTTTTTAACGGATTTTTTTACAATTTTCTATATATTTTTCGTTGATAGAAAGCGTATTATAATAAAATGAAAGTATTAGAATATTTTAAATATTTATTTAGCCATAACATAAATTATAAGAGGTTTGAATCCTTTTAATGTAATATTCATATAATTTAAATAACTATAAAATCTGTTTTTACATAGATTAATTATTAAATTTAAAAAGAGATTAAAAGGAAATAATTTATATTTTTATTTTGTAGAATATAATTAATTTTACGGTATATTATACAAGAGCTTCTTTAGCCCATAAAAATATAGTTGATTTGAAACAATTAAATACGTTTTATGTTATTTTTCTCTAATTTTAATACTTAAGCTATTATGTATTTTATCATACTTTAAAAAAGATTTATATTTTCATATTGTATGAGATACAATATTTCATCTATTTATATATACTAAATCAATGCTTATTTGTTATTGAACTTAATTTTATATATGAATTTTTCAAAACGAAATTATTATCAATAATAACGAAATCATTTATTTTTAGAGAGTTTATAATTATTACACCCTTTTTATAATAGTAACTTGAAATTTCCAGTAATTATATGAGAATTGCATAGATTAAAACTAGATAAATTAGAAGAAAATCTTTGCGTAAGGACGATATATGAGTGACTTTGATGATTGTATAAAATTTGTAATCTTAAGGATCCGAGTTATCGAGACAGTTTACTCACTTCTTTGAGTAAGATTTAAATTGTCATATAAAAAAATATAAGTAGAGAATTTATGTAATACGTACTTGTAGAATATGTACATAATTTACTGGTTACGAAATTTGTAGTTTCTGTGAAAGTGAAGAAAAATTGTATATTAGGAGATTTAAAGATAAAGCTAGATAAAAATTGAAAGAAAGAGAACGAGAGGGGGGATAGCAGCAGAATGTGGAATGTATCTGTAATGGCATGTAGAAGTCATGCAAAAGACAGTTTGGGTTAGACTGGAAGGCTTTGGTAAACGCTTATACTGCTGATAGGCATTATCGAAAACATTACTGATCCGTACTTCGCTTATGTATTACTCACATTAGGTGTGCATACACTCAAACTCATTTTTCCAGTTAAATTAACGTCGTTTGTTAAAGCATGAAATGCGAGAGTGCTTCGGATGTTTCGATGCTTTGTTTTGGAACTAATTAACTAAAACTTCGCGCTATTGATGAATGGAACGAGCTAAGTGGATAGTATGTGGATACAGGCCACGAGAAATTTTACAGACATGGCAGAAAGGATCGATAGATTCACATTTACTTCAAAGGCATTGGTGAATGTTGATGAAAGTCAAGACTCACCGGTAGCGTTGAATAATTGTGGTAGTCATTGTGCGAGTAGGTCGTTAAATGATTTACTTGCTGATTTAACGAGAGTAACGTCATTGAGATGCCATCAGGGGTGCCGCTAGTGGTGTACCGTGTATCTTGTACCGCTAGTGGTGTCCCTGCCGTGGAACCCGTCAATTGGTAGTCCGAGTCTGGAACAGAAATAATTTTTCCGACTTTGTTTTATGCTTCGCTTTTTTTACTGCATAAATTTGTACAAGAATTTGAAGACGTCCATTAAATGGGCAATAATTTTTTTTTATTGAATTTTGAGAACTTTACAGATCGCTTAGATGGCTTTTACACTGTCTTCTTTTTATTACCTATATGAAACATTCTTCTTATGAATTAAAGGTAAATAAGCAGGATTATTTTACTCATGTAGCTCACAATATAATGAAATGAATAATTCTTCGATAACTACATTCTATTATATCTATCATGTTTTTAATTCTATAATTACCATTTAGCTGTTTTTCAATTGATTCATCATACATATAATGTAAAGTATCTAAACAATAATAAATAAACACTTTTATGCAATGTATTTTGACTAATATTTATTGTGGTTTTAAATAAATGTATTTATATTTTTAATTTAAATAAGGTTTCCAATTATTGACATTAAAACTTAATCTTTATTTTTTTTACGAAATACAACTTAAATAAAACGTTTGTTGAATAATTTTTATTGTAAACATTATAAAATTAGAAACCTATTCTTAGAATATATTATTATTCTTTACTTATGATCCATTTTATTTACAATAATTTTTATTAATTATAAATATATTTGATTATGTTAATATATAATTTTATATGAATAAATAATTTTTTAAAATGTATAATACAGTCAATTTATAAGTCTACAACATATTTATTAAATTTTTCAACTTGTTTTTTGCATTTATACAACATTTGATTATTACTACTTTTCGTGGTTTGTTATATTGTATCTCAAATCGTATGCTTTAGATTAACACAAACAATTTTATATATACGAGAAGAATGTAGTTAATTACTTATTTTATGAATAATCTACATTTAAATAATTTTTACATCTCTATATTTCACCTTTATTTGTGGGAACAACATCAGGATTACGGTCGTCAGTATCATATAAGTCCTCAGAACTTGGTGCTACCGTCTTCTTTAGAGGCAGATTACTGGGTCGTTGAGCTCGTCTATTGCTTCTTACTTTGAGTGCAAGTAATATTGTTACCGTGCATGATAGTAAGGCTGCCATGACACCAATCAGGATTCCGAGAAGAGGTGTGATTTCGAAAGGCACAGGAGTTCCTGTTAACAATACGCGTACTACTTATGTGCATGTATTCCTCAGTCTGATACTTATCAGTACATTATTCTAAATAAATTCATGAAATACACATAATTTCAGTACGTATAATTTCACACAAAGTTATTAGAAATCTATTTACGTTCTGACACTTTACGATGTATGTCATAATTATCACATAAGTCCAAGCTTACAACAAATACAGTAAAAATAAAAAAAGTAATTTTTTTATTAAAAGTAAAATACAAATATTTGCTAATAAAACTAAATATTGTTTATTATTTAATATTTTCTTAAAATGATTTAATTATTAAATATTATTTCATATTTTCTACCCTGATTTAATAGCTTTATCAAATTACCTTAAATAATAGAATATTATAAGGATTACACTTTTCTTGTTTTTATTTTAATTTTATTTTTATATTAGTCATATTTAACAGCTAGAATAATTCCTTATTAATTTATGGTATATGGTTTAATTTATGGTACTATATGGTATACTTTTATACAATTGGATGTATAAATATTCATTACTGATAAAATCATATGTAGATATACAATTTTATGAATAATATATTATGATATGAATAATATATTACAAAATAATAATTTAAGAAAATTATTCGTTTCTTAATTTTATTCATGTATATTTCGTCATGTATATTTTCTATATCACGATACTTCAATTCAATTGTGTTAATGGCTAAATACTTCACTTTCATAATGAATTAATGTTATTTTGTTAGGTAAGGTATTTTTATATTAGTCCTATATTTTCACATAAGTGTATATACATTTTTAACATTGACGGAATTATAGTTGTAAAAAAATTGTTTCGATAAATGCAAATTACACACTTCAATTGAAATCATCGTTAATAATAATGCATTTATATATATATGCTTACATATGCTTATCTAAAATTGTATTTCCATATTTACGTATACGTGCATACTCCTTAATAATTTTAATCCTCCACAACGCAGAATCGTTCATAGTGGTACTCCTGGTAATTATAGAGGTAACGCAGACAGACTTACTTATTTAATGAAATACTATACTCCACCTTTTTTTCCTCTTATAATTTTTCATAAAATATTTTTTTGCGTTTCTATGTTAACTAAGCTAAATAAGAGGAGTACGAAGAAATAATTTATACGAGAAAAGAAAAGAAAAAAAAAGAAAACATGAAGGACACAGTGGAAAGTCGCATGGAGTGTGTAATGCTTTAAAATCACTTTGAAAGTCGATATTTATTAAACTAGGGCAACGAAATTTTTATTTAAAAAATTTTATCTATAATGTCTAAAAATGTTTACGTACATAAAGTGTCAAATAGACGTTTAAAAATAACAATTAGATTTCAATATATTTTCTACATAAATGTACCATGATGTATCTCCTTTAATTAAATCGGTAATTAAACTATACATGCAAATTCTATGCAGTAAACAAGAGTTAGTAATACTGGTTTTATCTTATTTTCTTAATTGACATTGTTTAAATTATTTTCCTTACTTTAAGTTTTTTACATTTGTCTGGGATCAGACTAAAAGCCTCCCTGTGATGGTGGATGGAGGCTTGCTGGCAAGTGGAAGGGACAATGCAATAATTCAACACTGCCTTTTGAGTGTAGTGTCTTTTCTTTTATTGAATATAATAATATAATAAATAGTCAATGATCTATGAATGTCGAAATGAATGTATGATACAATGAATAGATGAGAGTTTCTTCAATTAATATTAGCGACAAGAATACTGTAAGTGTATTCTTGGTAGCTTGTTGTTTGATTCTCCTACTCGTAGTTATAAACTCGTAGTGGTAGTGGGAGACTTGCGTTGATAAGGGGCAGCGATGGTGCCGCCTTTGCCGCTGGCGTATGATGAGCGCTGCATGATATTGGGGGGACGCCCGTGTGACGTCACTGGTAGGGGGCAGCGATAATGCCACCTTTGCCGCTGGCGAGGGATGAGAGCTGTATCGGTCTGATAATGAGGGGATGCCCGTGTGACGTCACTGGTAAGGGGACAGCGAAGATGCCGCCGTTGCAGCTGGCGAGAGATGAGCGCTGTGGCGGTCTGATGGAGGGAGAACGTCCGTGTGACGTCACTGGTATGGGGCAGCGATGATACCACCCTGTGCCGCTGGCAAGGGATGAGCGCTGTAGCGGTCTGATGAAGGGCGGATGTACGTGTTACGTCACTGCTTGACGGGTGGGAGAATTCCTCGTACTGTATACCGGGATATAGCTAGTCGTCGGCATTGGTGTATTAGTGTTGCTGCTTACTTAGTTGACGGGAGGCGTGTATTAGTGATCCGTAAGAACGTGTGTAATAGCGTAGCTTATGTGTGTTGGAGTCGATCTCAGTTGCATTGATGGTCCGTAAGAACGTGTGTAATAGCGTAGCTTACGTGTGTTGAGGTCGACCTCAGTGGCATTTATGGTACGTAGGGACGTGTGTAATAGCGTTACGTACGTATTGGAATCGATCTCTGTAGGAGCGTTGGTAGGCCGAGTGAGATTGGCTTCCGTTGAGCTGGAGTCGATCTTTGCAGCGTTGGTAGGCCGAGTGAGCTTGACTTCCGTTGAGCTGGAGTCGATCTCTGCCCATCGCGCTAGCCAATCGACAGCGCTTCCAGAGGACCTCCCAAGGGAGAGAAGGTGAATAGGAGACGCCCTCCCCTTCAGACACTTTCCTTATTTTAGAATACTCAAGACTAAACCCGGAAGGAAGTGGAAATGAAGGCGTGTATGATCAATCATGCTGCCCAAAGTCGCGCTTTGATTGGACACAAGAAAGAAGAAGGGGTCCCTAGTGGAGCCGGGTCAGTGAATTATTTAAGAAGGACAAATGAAATGTAACGTCACTTATTCTCATGAAAAGTTACGACTTATTCTCAAGAAGTTATTCAAGAACTTATTCTCATTTAGTCTTATCTAGCATATATAGCCCAAGGAGCAATATTCTAATTTGCGCCATTCAGAGGCGCGCATTTTATTTAACCTCTATCTTAGGCCCGTGCTCACTCACACGGTTTGTTATTTAGAGGCAGTTGCATCACGTGCTAAGATAACGACGCAAACAAATACTGTAGCGTTCGTTCAAAGCAAAACAAACAATCATAACCTCTCAAGTGGTAGTATCAAGAAGTGACAATAGTTATATACCCTATATTTTTGCACAGTAAATCACTATTTCACCCTTTACGTCCAGAGCATCTGGAATTTCACCACCCTCTACTTCTCCAATAGAAGTATACCACAATGCCACATCATTATTGAGAAACATAAAAGTCATTTATAACCTCATCAAGATTAATAATCCCTAAATTGGAAGTGAATTGAAAAGTAAATGGAATAAACAACAATAAGAATTATATGTGTTAATTATTGAATCAGTACATTAACCCCTCCATTTGCCCACGCATTCTCCCACACAACATCTAGTGGTTTTAGTTAATTCTAAACATTTGGTTCTTCGAGCCGGATTAGTGGAATAAATTTTTATACCATATGAGACAACATCATTTCAATTGATAAGATATTATTTATAATTAGTTCATAATTTAAAAGAAAAATAATAAATTTATTAAATATTAAATTTTCTTTTTAAATACGATTATTTTAATTTTATTTTAATTTATTATCGAAGATTAAATATAATATATATTTCAAATTATTGAATAAAGAATGTACTAATAGAAACCACTAATATGATAAATATCTATAATTGTGCGATATTGGATGATTTATCAATAAGAATATTAATTGTCATATACTCTAATTTCTTTTTTCAAATATTTGGTTGCAATATAAATTAATTTTAATACGAGTTTTTAATATTTTTAAAATAAAAATAGAAGAATAATATAAAAAGTAATGTTTGTAATAATGTTCGGAATTTGAGCATTTTCCAAGAACTTAGCTCTCGGAAATATATAAACCTTCTAGCTATCTAATTATGTGAACATTTGATTTCAAGAATTTTCGAATATTCCAAAGCTGTACCTTCGAGCGTCATACAACGTTTATCTGATCTTCACATAGTAACGTCGTTTGGAATTCTCCAAATTTCTTAAGCCTTGCTTTTCTTGTAATTATCGAAACTTCTAGAGCTTTAGTTTCGGCATCATGTAAGATTCCTGCATAGCAATACATATGCATAGTTACCAGATAGGTAAGCTGCTGCGTAGATATTTAAAGCAAGCACATCACAAGACGTCGCTTATAGTTACTCAGCCAGTAAGCCAGTCAGTAATGCTAGTCAGCCAGCAAGATATTCGCTATACACTCTCAAGGTAAGGCCACGGAGGAAGGAAGACGCGTCTATTCTCCTATGCTGCTAGATAAAGGAGTTGATACTATCCCCTACAAATCAAGAAAGTGCCAGACTACAACCACAGTTGATTCATCCACATAGAGAATCTGAAATAGTGAAACTAATCATCCATACAGAGCATCCGAAATAGTGAAACTAATCATCCACACAGAGCATTCAAGATAGTAAACAATTCATCCGCACGGTGCATCCGAGATGGTGGAAGGTTCAACACAGAACAGGTCAAGGCTACTGTTTGTCTGTGAGTAAACCAAGTATAACGCGTAAATCATTGCTAATCCACATAAAATTATCATGATGCTATTATTAATATAGTACAAACACACTCACTAATAAGAGTATGCATAATCAGTTGCTGATTCTTACAAAATCAACACCATCAAGAAACATCTTGTGTAGGTAAGCTATTCACTACAGAATCAGTTCAAGCAACTGAATCATCGTGATGGAACATAGTATATACTCTTCTATCACATACTTCCAATATAACAATAATGTAATTGTGAATAAACTTTAATAAACCATATTAAACGAAGAAGCGCACACTGTATTATGTACAATGTAAAGTCCTTCCACTAAATTCCTTCCCAAGCATCTGCTAGGACGGGCGGCAAATTATAATAAGCTATCGATCATTGGCAGTTCGATCCAAAAAATCACACATTCTCTAACAGATAAATAAAAACGACTTGTTTAAACAAAATAATATAATTTTATTTAAAATAAAATTAATCATTAACATATTAACATATATTTTGTTAAATTATTGCTGAACTTTAAGAATTACTTTAAAGAAAAATATACGTTGAAACATTATTTGGTAATGTTGTATATTTATTAAACTATACACTTAAAGTAATTGTTACAAAAAATTCGTAATTGTTATGTAAACAATGACTGTAATTACTTTTATTCAATCAGTGAACAACAATGTATATGCATACTGACAGTTATAAGCTTCATATAATTCTGAATAATTGTTATATTATTATATATTTATGCTTTAACTTATAAATATTATAAATATGTAGCTATATAAATATTTATAAGTAAAAAAAAATGTAAACATATATGGATTCTCTAAGTTGAATATAAGTATTAATATGAGTTGAAATACTTAATGGTTTATAGACCAGTTGGGATAGTACAGATAGAAAGGAGCTATCATTGATTTTAAAATTCAAGAAGTTGTGTTGGAGAACTTACCATCACTCTCTATATGACAGTTTTCAAAATATTCATGAATAATAAAAAATAATTAACTTGTATTATAAAACTTTACGTTATTATAGAACTTTACATTCGCATATGTATTACATGAATAATTAATTAATTGAATAACCACTGCTATTATCAATATCATATATATCATACATTGCATAAATGTCTGTAATTAATTTCATAAATGTATATATTTTTATTTTAAAAAATTTGATAAATAATGTATTTTAATGTAGCGTTAAAACGTAAATAATATTTAAAGAAAATTTAAATATAATTCTTACTTTTTTGTTTATTATAGTCTAGTAATTTATTAAAATGAAATTATAGATTTAAAAAAAATGACAGTCTAAATATGAAAAAAAAATCATGAAGTATATTTGAGTTGTTTTCTTGGTTTTGGTTATGTTCGAACCTTTTCCATGCCATAAAAAATCTCGTGGTCGTTGGAGGCTCGAAAAGGACAATACATCTGGAAAACATTCGTGAATAGTCATTTCTATTTATTTTCGCATTTGAAACTCGCTGTTTACTGGCAAGAAAGTGACGAGTCTGTTTATGCTAAAACATTTTAGAGTGTAAAAATTATTTCCAAAATATTCATTGCAATCCAATACCTTATACGTACGATAACGGGTATGCCGAAAGCAACGATGCTTGACCAAGAACTCCCTACGTCGCTAGTCCAAGAGAGGGGCGAGCCAACCAATTGTAGCGCTGCCGCCGAAGATACTTTATCGATGTTATCATCGCCAAAGCCTAAATTCTTCGGAAGTGGGAAAAGAGGCGTGCATGCTCACTCATGCTGCTTAAAAACAGCGCTCTGATTGGACACAAAAAAGGGAAAGGGATCCCAAGTGAAAACCATTGTCAGTGAATGTATTTAAGAGAGACAATTACAAATTTCATTACTAGGAATACATAGGGAGTAAATGTTCCTACGCGTAGTTCAAGATCGTATGTAACACGCTCTCCAAGGAAGGAGACGTAAAATTCACTTATCAGAGTCCGAAGACAAGTACCAGTTTAAGTTTCCATTGAAGAAGGAAGTGGAAGTCCCTGAAAGAAGAAGGAAAGTCCCTCGACTGATTTTACGATTAGTCTTCGTAAGTAGTATCAACTAATTAATTATCATAACCAACATCTAAGATTCGAAGTAACAGAAGCCGGGTCACCAAGCATACAAAAGGAGAAGCCGTGCAAAAGAAGAACAGCACGTGTCGCCAAGTCTTCGAGCCATTTGCGCATACCTTGTCGACCTAACCTCTGCCCTACTTCGAGTTCTGCGCTCACGAGGCCAATTATCACTAACATTTAATATTCAGAGTATAAGGAGCTGTCATAGAGCATCCATAAGGAATTGAGGCGCTTTCACAGGAGAATGCAGTGCGGAAAAACACACAACACTCGTTGCCAACTCTTCTCGCCGGTTAGCGCCTACCTAGCCGACCTAACCTCGTCTTAGCTCAAGTCCGCTGCTCATGAATGCGGGCCATTGGAAGCATATAGCAGACGCAACACGTGCCATTTTCTCTAAAAATGTAAGAGCCTTCCGACCTCTTACTTCCCAATGAACATTAGTGAAATACGCCACGAGAGAATAGAACAAACTTCGGGCATCTGACGCCCACCTTGTCGACCATAACCTTAACAAAGCACGTGCCCATGCGCACGGGGCGTAGCGGAGACAAGCCAATCTTCGCGTCATTCAGCGCTCATAGCAGAAACAACACGCAGTTTACTATAAGAAGTGTATGTTTGCCACCACAGCGTAATATACCCAACGATAGTTCAACAATTAGTAACAGTAATAATGATCATCCCTGTCATTTGAAATTAACAGAATAAACCAGATGTATTTACACTGACTTTATCATACTATCCCTTCCACTTGACTTAACTTCTCTATCAACAACATCCCGTGGTCTCTGAGTTGTCAACGGCAACAGTTTGTATCCCTTGAACCAGTCTTGGTAAAACGAGCCGGAACATCGGATACATTTTGAACAAATTAGTGTTTAAACATTATATTCACAGTTAATGAATATATTTGATAGATACGTAACTGTGGCAATTTGTGATCTTATTTCAAAGTAAATGTCATTTTACTTCGAGATTCATTCGGATATACAAATACATATGGAACTAGTAATATATAATGAGAGGATTTAAAATTTTTTAAAAGATTATTAAAAACAGCTATTTTAGTAAAATAATTTAATTTTGGAGTTAAATTTTAAATATCATTTAAAATATATTAGGCAAAAATATATTAGGGTTTACCGGTTTGTTTTTCAGCAACCTTAAGGGTGAATCCCTCGAGCAAGGCGGATTCACTTCGGCCCTTTGAATTTACCGCATACACAGTCATGCGTAATACGCGTCCGGATTGGAGATCGCGTACGCTGAAGGCAGCGTTTTCTTTCGAGCTCATATTTGCCTTGAGTTGTCCTGTTTGTTGGTCATAAACCTCCAGTTGGAAGTGCTGAATTTGGCCACCGTCGAAGCCAGCTGTGCATTCAACCGCTAGTGACTTGGTAGTTTGATTCATTAGTGTGCAGTTGTAAGGTGGTTCAGGTTTACCTGTTAATAATTCATCAGCGTTTATTATTTTCATTTGCTTTTTCACTACATTAATTAATTCTTTCGTAAGTAACTTCCTAATCAATCGTAAATTAAACTATATTATTTAACGTTAGCGATCAATTACTGTTTATTTAACTAATAAACATTTATATTTATAACCCTGATTATTACTTTGATACAAATAATGACATTAATTACATAAGCATTGACAAATAACTATTATATAAATAAATAATTATTTTTAAATGTAATCTTTTAAATAATTAAATTTAATATTTTATATTTATATACTATAGATAATTTTCATATCTATTATATTTTACATAATGAATTATACTATATAAGAAAAGATTATTACAATGCACTAAGAGCTTAAGAGAAACTAAGTACATAATATGTATATAAGAAGGTATATTTTTTAAAATAGTCTTTGACAAATTTTTTATAATCATTTAGTTTAAATAATCGTTTATAATATGAAAAATCACTGCATAATGATATTAGTCAAAAACTTCTTTTAATCACTATTTTTTACTATTTTACTAATTTTACTATTTTTAAATTGAAAACGCCGATAATAAACATTGAATTTTAATTAAAGTATATAGTTAAAAAAATTACTAATTTTGTAATAATTTTATAACATACTTTTTATTTGTTACTCAATGCTTTATTTATGTAAAATAATTTTTAAATTTTATTTGCATGGGCTTATATAATAAAAGTCTTATAAAATAAAATAAAAATGTTTAAATTACTGATTTTAATTACCCTTATTTACATAAAATCTTAACTTTGAAGTACTATATTTAATAAGTTAATAAACACGATTTAAATAATATCAAGCATAAATTTCAATAAATATACATTTATATAATACTAAAATTAATTTTGTATAAAAAATTTTATTGCTCCAACATGTTTTTTATACAATTATATTTTCTTTAATCAATTATTTGGTATATTACGGCGATAATAAAATTTTTTGGAATAAAATCATAATTCATTATTTATTATTATTATATTTTAATAAAAGAAACAACGATAAACAATAAAGGTAGTTTGAATAATTGCACTGTCCTTTCCACTTGCCAGCAAAACCTCCACTCAACATCTAAAGGAGGTTTTTAGTCTGATCCCAGACATGTATATATAATTATATATTTGCAAGCCGTAAATATTTACTACATTAATAATTAATTCAGATCAATATGATATGTCTACAATTTTTTCAATAATATAATTTGATATTTATTAAATTTATTTGATTATTAATGAAAATTAACTTACAATAATTAATAAAAATATTAAAATAAATTATATTGTTTAAAAGTTTAAGCAAATATAATTTATTAAGAAAATGAAATATTGAATGCATAGTTTTTATTTATATTTTCAATGGAATGATGTAATGTGAATCAAGTTTGTAATATAAACTTGACTGTAAATATTCAGAGAGAAAATAAACTTTCATTGTACCAGGGTCAGTTTAAAATTGGTGGACTTTTAATTGTTTTATTATTCAAAAGGAACCTAATTAACGTCGAATGCAGATATAATACTTTAGGATAAAATAAATAATGCTTATGCTGCACTTTCATATAAGTATCGAGGTACAATAATTTGTTTTCATATTCTTGAGATTAGTCCTCTGTTTCCCACTTTTTAAAAATAAGAAAATAATATCTATCTGGAAAAGCGCTTTGCAGTAATAGATGAAGAAGGAGTCACATACCTGCCGCTATGATGTGGAATATGCAAGCGTTTTTCTGCTGGCCGGCGATGTTGCTAGCCCAGCAAAGTATTGTTCCGTAGTCCATTTCGCTGACTGGCTTATATGTGAGAATGCTTTCGGCATGACGAGTGGAGTCTTTGTACCGAGCTTGAGGTACTTCTGACATTTCTTCAGTGTTATTAAAGGTCCAACGGAAGCTATCTGGTAGTGGAAAAGCTTCCACCTTACAAACGATGTGCGCTTCTTCATATCGCGTTACGCCGTAAATGCGCTTCTGATCGGAAAGACAGATTGGTTTATCTGTAAAGAAGTAAAGTTTCAAGACTGATATTACGAAGATACTATCTTTGTATTGCTACTAACTTCACATCGATTCCATTCTATTGGATTCATTACTCAACTATTTGAAAACATCAGTAAATCATTAGTTTATTGCAGTCGTCTTGAAAAAAATATTTATAAGTTTTACCAAATTTAATTAAATGATAATACATTTTATATTTATTAAGGATTTTTTTTTAATTAAAAATATTTTTAATTATAGTATTAATGAAAGATAACAAATTTATGAAAAATTTCAAAGTTATTTAATAATAGAGTACTTTGGTATTTCGATGAAATAATATTTTTTATAAATGAATTTTAATTTTTTATTATGACTTGAATTATAAATATAGAAAAGTAGAAAGGTAAAATAAAAATTTATTACTTACACATGATTTTTAGTTCAACAACATTACTAAAACCATCACCTTCTACGTTGCTTGCTATACAAGAATAATTGCCCGCCTGTGATCGATTCACTTTACGTAGAGCGAGACTCGTCTGCTGTACTATCATACCGATTTTTGCATTGTTCTGTAGTACATTGTCCTATAAATAAATAATTATTCTATTCACAATTGAAAAAAAAGTAATCAAATTTTATAAATTTTCTTAAATAGCTAGACTCGATTTATAGTAATCAATTTGTTGTAATGACAAAATATGTTTCATATATAGCACATAAGTAAGACATTTTTTGGTGCATTTGGTTCTGTATTTCAAAATGAATATATACATACGGACAAGTAAGCTCGTATATAAATAGTAAATTTTTTTCCTCTTTGTTTGTATACTTAAGAGAATGAAAAATGTAAACGTAAATTAGCAATAAAATAAGCATACATACACGATGTACAGGGTTCAAACACTTTGAAATATCTTTGATTCTTTATATATAAGGGCATACGGAAAGTACTACTATTCAATTTCTTGAAACCATACAGCAAATTGGAAATTTAAAGACATAATTAATACATTAGAAAACTTTGTTCTATCATAGATGTCATACTTACGTTATGTTTCCAAACTACTTTATATGCTACAGGATTGGCGTCAATTTTACATTCAAAATAAACATCATCACCTTCTTCAATATCATCGGCGTTCATACTAGAGCCAAGTTTAAGATTTAAAATTGGAACGTCTGTTCAAATAAAGAAATTAAATTTTATGTGAAATCTATATTACATTTGTTTTCAAAAATAAAAATATAATTATTATATTAATCAATATATAACTTATTAAATATACTATAAGTTTCTTTATTTAGAATATATAATAAAATGTTAGTAATAATATTTATATATTATGTATATTATGTATCATTCATCAATAAATATATTTTTTAATATTATTTAAAAATATATATATTTAAAACTGAAATTTTTTATCGAAGACTTCAAATAATTTGTTTAGATTTTACAATTAAATGATTTTACTTTGTTACGAATTGTTTGATATTGCGAGACCTTTTTTCAATGCAATATAACATCTGGCAAAACAACATCTTAAAATTTGTGTTTAGATTTCAAAACTTTCTTGCTCGTAACTATCTAGCAATAGTGTCATAAAACATCTGGAAAAATAATACAATAAACACGGAAAAACCCACTCAGTTAGGCATATGTACGAATTCATTCCGCTCGGCAATTACTTCAAGCATTACATGCAAGCGGAACTTCCCCCCCCCCTGCCGTTGCCAACAAGCTGTCGTGCTGTGGCCATGCGTCAGCAGCAACGCGAGGTCTGCTTATCATGAAGACCAAGAGACGACTAGGCCCTTAACTAACTATAAGGCCACAAGAGGCGCTGCCCTCGCTCTGTAAGGGAGGAGTCTCGGACGAAAAATAAGGGAAGGTGTTCAAGTGAAATTCATGGTCAGAAAATGTATTTAAGCGGCGCATTTATCAATATTTATATCAATATTCACTCTATACAGTATTTATTCAAGTAAGTGAAGTGGAAGTCCATTAACGCTGCCAAAGGAACAGTGCTTACACGTCCTAGAGGAACGACGACATGCACCTGTATGTCCACTAACGCAGTTCAAAAAACCGTCGTTACAAGTTCAAAGGGAGCAACGACAATCCGGATATCAGAGTCCGAAGACGCTGGCAGTTTCCTATTAACGTAGTTCAATACAAACATAGTTACAAGTCCTATTGGCGGGCGACACATTCCAACGACAAGTGTCCAGTGACAAGCCCCCTTGAAGAAAGAACAAGAAGGTCCCAATTTCAAATATACCAGCAGTCTTCGAAAGTAATATTATTATTACAATAATTACATACTCTGAGATTCAGAGATTATGACATCGACAAGCAACTAAGGACGAAGAGGCTCTCTCCAGAGCAACAGTGCGGAATAGATTCCAGTACGCGTCACCAAGTTCGCGCCCACTAAAAGGTCTTGTCGGCAATCCTCACCTTAGTTCAAGTTCGGACGCTTATGAACTTAAGCAAACAGCGCGAGTGTCGACGAATCAACTTCGCGCCATTCTGAGGTCAAATACAACCATCACGCTGCACCCATAACCTCAAACTACGCACATGGTCATCCAAACAGCGCGACTGTCGACGAATCAAGCTTCGCGCCATTCTGCGGTTAAATTCAACCATCACGCTTCAAAGATGAGTGTACAGTAATCCACCACAAGAATTATTTCAATAATTAATAATAGTAATATTATTCAACCTTTGTATCAATAAATAACAGAATAAACAGCATATACATCAGCCATACTTGTATTGTATTATTATAATATTCCTTCCACTTGTGACCTTTCATCGCTACCACACAACACCCGTGTTCTCTGAGTTATCAACGGCATCAATTTGTACACTAATATTATATGAAATATTGGTATAGATTAGAGAAATAAATTGTATAATTTTATTAAGTTGTCAATATGATCAATTAACATTCTGAATTTACTAATTTACTATAATAAATTACCATATTTCTTTACATTTTACATAATATGATAAAACAATATGATATTTTATTATACATTTATATATTATACAACTCCGTTAGTTTTATTATTATTATTATATTTTGTTATTTCATCATTTTATTAGTATGAATATTATAATAATATTGCTTTATTTGTTTTGTTTTGTAATTTTCAGTTTTTTGGATAGTTCTGCGTCTGATAGTAGTTGATAACTTGGATACTTCTGATAGTGTGTATTCGATAGGATAGTTTCTGTTTAATCTATATATTAGATAAGCCAAAAAGTGTTTCTTAGTTCAAATTTTTAATTGAAAAATTTATTATACTTACATAAAATATTAAGTTTTAATGTATCTTCCTCAACTGCCCCTTTCACATTCCGATTTTCAGCTCGACAAGTGATTGACTTGTCGTTATAATGTAAAGTTGGTACGATTGTTAAAATTGATGTTGTCATATTCCCATCTGGTGAAATCTATAATAAAATACAAATCATTAATATATACACATATATTTCTAAAATGTTTAATAATTTTCAATGAAATTGTTTTTGGTCCTTTATGTATCGTTTATAAATAATTACTTGTTTGTGTAATTGCACCTATTTTATGATAGATATATTTGAATTTATCATGGATTAAGTATTAAATAGTAAACATCAATTTGTTATTGTGAAATTTGAAAATAATCAGTTTGTTTATAACATTTAGGAATATTATATTATGTAAATTATCATATCTCAAAGACATATATATTTTAATAATACTAATGAGATAGTCTATTAAATTCAATTACAAGGTAATATATTATACCTATGTATACAATAAATGATAATAATTGTGTGTTTTTTTTTATAATTCATATTCAGTAATCCTTTTTTCCGTTATTAATCTATTTAAATGGATTAATATATTCTCCTTTAACACTACTATATAATTTATATTTGTTTGAAACTGTTTCATTTTGAATATTATGTTTGGTTGAATATTATGTGAATTCCTCGATAAAGGTCTTCTTCTCGAAATACTCGTGATGACTATGAGCAGGTGGCCATATTATCTCCATATAAGCATGGTCCTTGATGACGGCCTTGTATAGCTCCTCGAGTTGTGAACAGGCTTCTGAAATTTGTTCCGAGGAGACGTTGAGGTGCGGTAAACTGAAATTCTCAGTCAAATTCTTTATTATTTCTATGCGATCCCTGTGAGTTTTTGCCTTGAAAATGATTTCAGAGGATAAGTGTGATGGTGAGGTACTCCTAAGTGTAGATTTTCTAGTTTTCTTAGTGTCTTCCTCGTCAATGCTTGTTTGGAATTCCAGCCACCAGTATGATTGCAGATCACGGTGGGTGGATTAGACCGTACCACCGGTTTAATGGCGATGGTGGAGGGGGATAGGTGAGATGTTAATGCATCAACTTAGAGTAAATACAATTGATTTTAGTGACTTTTATTTAAATGGTTGTTACAGTGTTGTAGGTGTTCTTAATTGTGGTGAGAATTGTTGAATGTTAACTAGGCAGCTGATTATTAAGTCGAAACGTCGTCTGGCTGTGCAAGCTTCGTAAGGTAATAATTTCGGGTTTAGCTTATAATTAACAAAGTCTTTCCTATTCGACAGTCATGTGTCGTGTGCGTCACACTTGAATTATATTGGGCATTAGTCGGATCGTGGAGCTTCGACGCTTACGGCAACGCTCGAAGCGTACTAAGCGAGATTCGGCTCGCGACTGATTAGGCGTTTGACTCGACGTTGGAATTGACTGAGTGATATTCGGCTCGTTCCGGTGGTGGGGATTATTACTAATAATTGTCGCCCTCTTTTGTGGTTTGATCAGAACCATTTGTTGTGGCGTGACCGGTAATGTCTCGCAGTACTAAGAGTAGACTTAGGCAGGGGTCTACTGTCAGGATCGGCGCCCTCTTTTGCGGTCTGATAAGAAGCAATTTGGAGGGCTTTACTGATACGGTAGACGTGGGCCACGAATAAATTCTTATTTTTTGTTGGGTGGTTCAATCTTGAACAATGCTTTTTTGGTCGCTATATCGTTATTAGCTTCCACTGTAGACAGGTGGCAGGTTGTAAATCTCTGGATAACTCATATTATGATGTTCTAGTGATGTGTTGCTACAGGAAGGGGTGGGAGGTCGTAAATCTCCGATTGCTCCTTAATGTAGTGTTACGTGTTGCATAGTATGCAGTGATGAAAAATAACTGGTGAATTCTCGAATTTGCACGTATGCAAGGCACTGGTGAGATACACTGCCTTCCATTCCACTAAAACCAAATGTTCTAAACTATTTGATTTCCTGGATCGAACTGCCAATGTTTCGATAGCTTTATAATACATTGCCGCCCGCCCTAGTGGATGCTTGGGAAGGAGTTAAGTGGAAGGGCTGTAGATATGTATAGTACGTGTAGACTTCGTTAACATATGGTTTATTAACAATTACATTAGTAACGAGCTGTATTTACTTCGTATAGGGGAGATGCTCCTTGATGGTGACAATAATGGATGATGCACGCTCTTTAGTAAGGAGTATGCCCCTTCTTGTGTATATAACGTGACGCCTGCTAACGGTGTAAACATTCGCAGGAATATGCGCAAACTCCTGGATAGGATGTGTCGCCTGAATGCTGATATGAAATACCTTGATATCGTGCTTCTTATAATGATAATGGCTTCACTGCATTTAGCATAACTGAGTGACTAGCTCATGGTTAAAAACTCTTGACGAATAACGTTGCCGAATAGCGACTGATAAACGGACTGATTAACTAAATTACAATGAGCGCCTAAGCATGGTATGCTTCCTTTAAATATCCGCGCGGTAACTTACTTAGCTGGCAACAATACATAGTGTCTGGGATCATACTATAAAACCTCTCGGTGATGTTGGGTGGGGGTGTTGCTGGCAAGCGAAGGAGGCAAATGCAATTATTCAATTCAACAAATAGTCTATCTTTGTCTTTCCTTTATGAAATACAATAATGTAATAATAGTTAATGGTTATAGAAGTGTATAAATGGAGAGTATGAGTGACTTATGCATTAAATCGCAGTCATTATCAGAAATCCTGCAGTTGAAAGCAGTTCGTATAAGCAATACTAACTTCCCCTAGCGGCGATGAACGATGTTGGTGAACTATTAAATGAATGTTAATTTTTATTAAATAAGGGAATGATTTTTTATTACTATTATATATTTCCTATTCTACAATGAGTGTATGTAAAAATATGTATATTGCCTAGTGTTGTGGATTACAGCGGGAGAGGTATGAGCGCACGAACATTTGTTTTGTAAACACTGGCCAACGAACTCAAAGAATGCTTCTCTACCGAAAATTCGAATATACGATTCTGATTCTGAAAAGTAATAACGATGAACCCTACAAGGCTATGCCCTATTGACGTCACGACAAATATCGGCATAGCAACAGCCAGCGATGCGCTATCGGGGCCACAAGTTCGTACGAAAATATTTAAGGAGATGCACGTGCTGCGATTTCTTTTTGCTAGTACCAATCACGCACTCTCTACATCAGGCTCGCTATCCAACCTGCAATCGCCATTATGAAGCCGTAGCAAGCATCAAGCAACCTAAACAACTAATAGCGATGCCACAACTATAGGCACCCACGCCTCCGTAAGCAACGCACCACGCTCGTTCCTTACTACTACTCTTACTAGCAATCATCACGACAAGACCGCCACTCTACTCATCGGCTCACGCCCGCATGTAAGTAACACACCACGCTCGTTCTTACGGCTTACTAACACATCGGCTCCTGTCAACTACGTAAGCAGCACCACACCACGAACGTCCACCAATGCCACTCCGTTTACTACAGCTCACCCCACACCGGCGGCTAAGACAGCACCAGCTCACTGCCCCTACCAGCAGGAGTCTCCGACTACAACTACTCAACTCATAAGAAGAAGGGGAATCACGCTCCAGACTATCAAGAATACACTTACAGACTTATAGCCACCAACATTAATTGAAGAAACACTCATCTATTCATTCTCTCACATATTCATTCAGCCATCCATAGATCATTGACTATGCATTATTTATTATATTTAATAAAAGGAAAGACAATAAACATTAAAGGTAGTATTGAATAATTGCATTGCCACTTCCACTTGCCAGCAAGCCTCCACCCACCATCATAAGGAGGTTTTTAGTCTGATCCCAGACACCTAGAATAATATGATTTAATCCAGGTTATTAAATGGTTTATAAGGTATTACATTCCATTTTTATTGTCATATTGTTAAAGATATTAAAAAGTAAGAGACTATTGCATATCTTAAAAAAATAACTTCGTAGCTTGTAAGTATTTTGAAGACTGCAGTCCATGAATTGTCTGTATTATTTTTATTGGATTAATATTATTGTGTATTATATCATAAACTTGTTTCCAAAGTAAAAAATAGTATATTTCGGTAGTTAAAATTAAATGCAAGTTCAAATATATATTCAAAGAATTAATTACATATCATAATATAGAGTAATTTAAATAATATTAATACCGAAAATAATTAAGAATTTCTAGGAAATAGGTTTCTACTCCATTAAAAAAAGAAATAAGAAATAAAAAAAATAACGCGGAGCCAATGCATATTTTCAGTCATAATAGAAAATTCTTATCAGGCTTCATATTGTTCGAGAATGCGAGAACATTTTTCCTTTTTTGTCAGTGCAATAAAACATCTGGGAAGTAACATCGTAAAATTTGTATTTGGATTTCATAACTTCGCTTGCTCAAAATTCTCACGCATTAGTGTCATAAAACATCTGGAAAAACAATACCATAAACACGGGAAAACCTGTAGTTTGACATCTGCATTTTCGTTCTGTTCGGCAACTACATCAAGCATTACTGCAAGCGGACCTTGGAATTGCAAGCGAACTGATTGGACAGAAAATAAGGGAAGGGGTTCAAGTAAAATTCATGGTCAGCAAATGTATTTAAGGGGCGCAATTTTCAATACTCATTTACTCTCGATACTTAACTCTCTTAATCCTTAACACTCGTGATATTTAACTGTCTTGATATTTACTCTTGATAGTTTTCAGTTAGTAGTATTTTAGTGATATTACTCTTTTCGAAGTGTCTCTCAGTTTTTTGATATCTATTGCTTATTAGTATTTTTGATATCTCTCTTTTAGTAATACTCTCTCAATATTAAACCCTTGAGACATTTCATACTCAGTTAAGTTTTAGTGAAAGTCTATTTAGCGCTCTTTTGTGAACTACTTACACTTCTTCGGATTGTCCATTAACAGTGTTACTGGAACAGTAGTTACTGCCCCGGAAGAACCACGACATAAACCCGTATGTCTACTAACGCAGTTTAAGAAACTGTAGTTACCTGTTCCTAGGGAGCCACGACAATCCGCCTATCAGAGTCTGAAGACGAGTCAACGATTAGTCTTTGCAAGTAGTATCTACTACAATAATTATATATATTGAGATTCAGAGTATTACATCGACAAGCACTAAGAACGAGGAAGCTACTCTTAAAACGACAGTACGGAATAAATTCCAGTACGCGTCGTCAAGTTTTGGGCCCGCCAGGGGCGTCTCACTTTAGTAACCCTCACCTTAGTTCAATCGGAAGCTTACGGGCGTAAGCAAAACCCAGCGCAAGTGTCGACAATCCAGTTTCGCGCCACTTGCGATATCTTTCAATCATAAAGCTGTATTCATAACCTCAACCACACACGTGCTCGTTCAAAAGGCGCTAGTGTCGACGAAAGAAACTTCGCTCCATTCGCCATTCGTATTCAACAATCAAGCTGCATAGATTATTGTACAGTTGTCTCATATTGATCAAGTAACACTAAATTAAAGAATTGTCAGGAAACGTAAATTGTAAAAAAATCTACCTAGTAATTAGGGTATGCCGTATCATAGTGTCATATCATCTTTAGGCATTTTAATGTTTAAAGATGTAAATACTGATACTATCGCTCATATCAGTAATTGCAAAATATAATTGAGGAAGACTGTATGAGCCAATGTGGAGAAGTTTAATATATATTGGGTAGAAAACCACTAAAGTTTCAAAACATTAAATATTATAATATACTACTTTATTCAACTAATTTCTTTATTAATAATAAATACAAAATTTTAAATTATATTATAATAATTTATTAGTATATATTTGATTTTAAATAGTAAAATGTACAAAATAATAATTGAATGTTATGTAAATATAGTTGAATTTAGAAAATATAATGGTATTGTATTCACTTTTAAATATACATAATTTCCATAAACTTATATATAAAAGTATAGTTGATAAAGATTTATATTTGTTGGTCTATTTATTTCAACAAGTTTTTTAATTAAATTCTGATAATAAAAAATTTCTAATTTAAAAAATTAATATTTTAGAAAAGAATATGAATGTTTACTTCTTAAAAGTTACAATAATTGTTTTTGACAAATATAAATTTCAACTTAGAAAACCGCATATTACATATTATAACATTATATAAAAAAAGATACGAATAACTTTTTCATAAGTTGCTAATATCGTATATTTTTTAAGCTAAATTATATGTAGGACATTTTAAATAGTTTTCAATTTTTAATAAAAGTAAATGTAGGAGCAATAGTTACAATAAATATAATCAATTTTTTTGGTTGTATAAATCATAATCGGTTTTATTGAATAATCGTTGTTCGAGAGTGAAAAGAAAATCTCTCGAATTATATTCATTACAAAACTTTCAACAGCTATTATAAAAAACGGAATTATCGGACAGACTTAAAAATCTAAGAAAGTTTCGCCAAGGTTACTCAAGGCTCGAAAAGTTTAGTACATCTCTGTTCGGAAAATAATTCCAAAAATCTGACTCGTCAGCCAAACATGCTAAATCAACTTAGAACAAAAAAACCACTAGATGTTGTGTGGGGTTGCTAGGCAAGTAAAGGGTTAATGCACCAATTCAATAATTAACACATATCTTTATTATTGCTGTTTATTTCATTTATTTTACCTTGTTTCCAAATGGGAATCATTAACCATGGTGAAATTACAAATGACCTTTATATTTCTTAATAATCTTGTGGTGTTGAAATATATCTATGTATTCGAGAACTAGAAGATAATCAATTTCTTATTCTCTGAATATAACTGGTAAGATTATGATTTACTGTAAAAAGAAGTAGGTTATAATCTATTGAATATTATCACTTTGCGGTTATGGTTATTGTAGTGCTCTGATCGAACACTACAATATTATTGTGTTTCAACTCAACACGTGTGCAGTTGCCTCTAAATATGAGTCAGATAAGAGCCTAAATAGAGGTTATTCGGAGCTGTGCGCCACCTGTGGCGGTAACAACTTATCGTTGGAGGGATTAAAAGCCACTGTGGCCTGTAGCTGGTCTTGTACTAGAGTATGTCTGAGAAGCTGCGGTAGTCGGACTTTAATCCGTCCGTTTTCTACGTAAGCCGAGAAATCAAGAATCAGTACTAGCTGTAAGGACTTACATGCAGTGTAACGTGAATTTTGTATTCTCTCATCGTTGGCAATCGTAGAAAGAACTTCTATTAAACTCAGCTAAACGACTTGTCTCTCCGGTCCTCCTGCGTTTGAGTAAGTCGTGACTTATCCTTATACTGTAAGAAGTATTTGGAAAGAGTAAGTGAAGGTACATTACGTAGTCCCTTCTTAAATGGTTCACTGGTCCCGCTCCACTTGGGATTCCTTCTTCCTTTATTAATTAACCAATCAGATGTTGATCTTTGACCACACAATAGATTATGCACGCTTTCAGTTTCACTTCCTTCTGGGCTCAGTCCCGAATTTGCTAATCGGGAAAGTGTCGGAAGGTGGCGAGCCTTTTCCATTGGTTGCCTCATCCTTCTCTGTGACTTGGCTTGATGAAGGGTCCGCTTGGGCGTGGTCAATTTTCCAATGCGATCGACCAGATGTGGCATAGCCAAGAACAATGCAAGCATTGTCTTAAAGGCCGAGTGCGCACGTATGGTCATTGCAGGTTGTTGCACGTGCGGGTTTTTGGGTTGCAGTGAATTTAGTAAATGTTTTGTACTCGATGCTTTACGCATATCTGATATTCGTTCTGAATCTACTTTGGGGTTCTCCCGGCAATAAACTTATTAAGTTCTACAGCACTGGGAGCATGAACACGTTTCGCTAGAGTTTTCCAGATGTTTTATGAGACTAGTGCTAAATACTTATGAACAGGAAAGTTTTGAAGTATTAATACAATTTTCACGATATTACTTGCCAGATGTTTTATTGCATTAAAAAGTGAGTCTCTCATTCTCAAACAATCTGGAGCGTACTCGTAAACATCCACTTCATAGCTCTTCGTACTACAGACGTAGTAATTGTTTTGAATGCAATAAACAACCCTTGCGAGTTCACGTCAAAACCCGACTAGCTTGTTTACAAGAGTATATTTTGACGATTAAAATATTTCAAAACAATTGAATGAAAAATATTTCTTAAAATCGGTTGCAACCCGAAACTTAGCACGCGCAACGCTCGACAATCTGCGTCGCACGTGTGCCTTCAATGCCACGAGGGCATACGCATGCATTGTTGTCAAGTACGACAAATGTTGCTTGCTTGCATAGGCCAAGCGAAGACGTTTGACCAAGGATCACCCCCACCACGATGAGTCCCGGAGAGGGGCAAATCATCCACTTCACACATTGCCGCCAGAGATACTCCTTCGATATTCTCATTGTCTAAGCCTAATTTCTTAGGAGGTGGGAAAAGGGTGTGTACAATTAGTATAACGCCGAAAAGCGGTGCGCCCTGATTGGAAAACTAAGACCAGAAGCCCCTTGAGTGGGGACTTATGGTAAGAGGCCTTAAAGATGGGAACAAGGCAGCGAAAAGTCGCTGTCCGCGGGGGACAATTGGAACACGCTGTCCGCAGAGAAAATTCGATGTGTTATGAACATAAATATAACATAGTTGCTTCTTATTATTTATATTTCAAATATTCTTACCTTATAATTATGTATTGTTCATATTTGTTTACAAATGTCATCTATAAATAACTAAAATTTTTAACTGTTAATTTATGAACGTAACATATCATTGAACTAACCTTTTCTGTATAATTCGTGAGGAGTTGTCCCTCTATGTACCAGGTAAGGTTGGCTGGCGGTCGCGAGCACACGGTCATACAATTAATTTCGTATTTACGTCCTGCACTTAGAGGTGATTCTTCACTAGCTAATATGGATACATTTAGAGGATGTACTGAAACACGAAATTAAAGCATATTTTTACGTCAAATAAATACTTATTGAGAATCTACATGTGAATATAAACATCACTTTTTAAGCAAAATGTATTGTTTCTATAGTTGAATAAATCAATATTAAATAATTAACCTGGAATATAATGTAAAATTTAAAAAATTATACTTTACAAGTATTTATCTACTGTAATGCATGTAATTAAAAAATTAATATTCTATTGATTATTTTAATATAATTCTAACGCTTGTTGTAATTTTCATTATTGTGCTCAAATCGCATTTCATTTTCTAGTTAATGGATATAAGCAAATATATATCATTTAATATTTTGAGTGTTTGTCATTACTCGTTAAAATAGTAAAAGTATGTATTAAAGCATGATAGTGATATTAAATTATATCGAATAATAATTTTTTTTAAATATTTGATTTTTATATATTTCAATAAGTAGAAATTAAAAACATTATAAGATATATACAAGATTATAATTAAGATATTCTAAATAATGGTCTAAGTTAGTTTTTTGTTCCGCCTATTAGTGTGTCTCATACTTTTCAAGATGCATTTGTAAACCTTTAATATATTCATATTAAAAATTTATATATTTATATAAACAAATTTTATATATACAAATTTCATTTATCTAATTTTATTATATTTTATATAAACAAATCAAGTGAAAGATAAGTATTTAGTAAAAACGTTTGATTAAAATTTAATTGATATATTTGATTTTCAGTCCCTCGGCATTAGAATTTCTACATTGAATTTTCTGGTACATTATTAATAAAATTAATTTTTATATTTACGTAAACTTCGTCAAGAGAGAAGCCGTTTAATTAAAAACTTTAGAGAGTAAGAGAATATAGAAATCAAAGAAACATAAATAAAATATGCAAACTTTAATAAAGTAATGTACAGTAATATAGTGAAGAATTAAGAAAACTAGGACAATTAGTAAATGTGAAACAGATTGAAAAAAAGCAAGTGAAAAAGAGCAAATCCAGGTGAGAAGACAAGAAAAAGAGTAAGATATTTCAAAAGGATAAAGGGAAAAAGAGAGAAGTGGCAAATAAAATGAGTGCAATGGATGAAAAAACGTTTAACAGCTATTATAAAAAGGAATTATCGAACAGACATAAAATCTAAGGTCTCGTCAAGGTTGCTGGAGTCTCGAAAAGGTTTGTACATCTAGAAACTCGTAAACAGCCACTTTATGGCTTTTCGAACTGCAGACATAGTAATTGTTTTGAATACAATAAATGATCCTTGCGACTTAACATCAAACCCGACTACATTGATTATACGAGTATACTTTTGAGGATTAAAATTATTTGAAAACAATTGAGTGAAAAATATTTCTTGAAATTGATGGTCTTCGAGAATGCGAGACCTTTTCCTTTTTTTTGTCAATGCAATAAAACATCTGGCAAATAATATCGTAAAAATTGTATTTAGAATTCAAATTTTGCTTGCTCAAAATTATCAAGCACTAGTGTCATAAAACACCTGGAAAATCATTACTATAAACACGGTAAAACCCATAGATAGATATCTGCATTTTCGTTCCGCTCGGTTTCCTTCCGCATTACTGCAAGCGGACCATCCTTCCCCTTGCCGCTGTCTACAAGTTGTAATGCTGTCACTAGATATGTCAGTGATGCCCCCCCCCCTTCAGCTGCCAACATGCTATCGCATGCGGCAGCAGCAACGCGAGGTCTGCTTGTCATGACGACCAAGAGACGACTAGGCTCTTAATTAACTCCGTAGCCAAATGAGGAGCTGCCCTCGCACTATAAGGGAGGAGTCTTTGATTGGACAGAAAATAACGGAAGGGGTTCAAGTAAAATTCATTGTCAGAAAATTTATTTAAGGGGCGCATTTATCAATATTCATCACACTTGATAGTTTTTCTCTTAGTAGTATTCTCTTGATAGTACACTCTTGATATTCTCACTTGAAGTTTCTCTTTAGATATCTCTTTCTTAATAGTATACTCTTGATATTTCCTTCATAGTATACTCTTGATATTTCTCTTTTAGTAATACTCTCTCAATATAGTATATACCCTTGAGATATTTCATACTCAGTTAAGTTTAGTGAAAGTCCATTAACACTGTTACTGGAACAGTAGTTACAAGCCCTGGAGGAACGACGACATACATCGTATGTCCATTAACGCAGTTCATGAACTGTCATTACATGTTGAAAAGGAGTACGACTTACACTTCTTCGGATTGTCCATTAGCATGTTCAAGCAACAGTAGTTACACGTCCCAGAAGAACGACGATATAAACCCGTAGGTATGTCCACTAACGCAGTTCAAGAAAATAGTCAACCTTGTCAACAATAAATAACAGAATAAAAAGTAAATACTTCAGTCACATTTATATTGTATTATTATATAATATCTGTTCGGAAAATAATTTCACAATCTGACTCGTCAGCCAAACATGCAAAAATCAACTTAGAACAAAAAAACCACTAAATGTTGTGTGGGGTTGCCGGGCAAGTAAAGGGTTAATGCATCGATTCAATAATTAACACATACCTTTATTATTGCTGTTTGATTCATTTATTTTACTTAATTTCCAATGGGAATTATTAACCTTGGTTAAATTACAAATGATCTTTATATTTCTTGATAATCGTATCGTGTTGATATATCTGTTCATTGGATAATTAGAGGATAATCAATTTCTTATTATCTGCATGTCACTGGTGAGCTTATGATTTACTGTAACAAGAAGTAGGTTATAATCTATTGAATATTATCACTAAGAGGTTATGGTGATTGTAGTGCTCTGATCGAACAATGCAATACTATTGTGTTTATCTTAACACGAGTGCAGTTGCCTCTAAATATCGGTCGTAAGAGGGCCTAAATGGAGGTTATGCGAAGCTGTGCGCCATCTGTGGCGGGAACAACTTATAGTTGGAGGGATTGAAAAGCCAATGTGGCTTTTGTAGCTGGTCTTGTTCTAGAGTATGTTCAGGAAGCTTCCGTAGTTGGACTTTATCCGTCCGTCTTCTACATAAGCCGAGAAATCAAGAATAAGTACTAGCTGTAAGGACTTACTTGCAGTGTATCGTGATTTTCCAGTCTCTCTTCGGTGGCTTGTTATGACGTTCCCTTGCAATGTTGTAACTCTTTAGTTCTTCCTTATCTCTAAGTGAGATTAGAAGTGGTCAGGTCCTATGCAATCCAGTCTTGATGAGATCAATTCAACTGTACACTAATTCACAATCGTAGAAAGAACTTCTTATTAAAACTCAGCTAGCTAAACGACTTGTCTCTCCGGTCCTCCTCCGTGAGAGTAGGTCGTGACTT